CTGGTGGGTTTGAACCGCCAGCCTTCTGGTTAGCAGTCAAGTGCCTTAGCCACTATGCTACCAGAGCTCCCATATATATATATATATATATATATATATGACAGATGGCTGGCATCTGTCTCTCTCCCATTACACAGTTACCTTATACAATTTGCCAAATTCAACACAGTCAGCTGCTTCAAAACTGAAAGAGACTTGAGGCTGTCATCTGTTATTCTTTTGCAGTCCACCATGTAAATGTGATGGATATTTGGATAATGTTTGTCTATATATTTGAAGGAATTATCAGTAATCCTTTTATTTCCTGTTATAAAACACAAGAAAAGTATTTATAATGCTAAAAAGTAATGTTGATAACTCATGGACCAAAAGAGTAAAACTAAAGAATAATGTTGATAACTCATGGAGTTCTCTATACAATGCAACCAAGTTATCAATCTTTAAGATATCCAAAAATACAAATACAGAGCAAAATGCAACATTAAAAAAAAAAAAAAAAGCTGAACCATATTTTTAATAGCACAGACCTTCAAATCGGATCTTTCTGAGGTTACAACTGGAAAGAGCTTTGAAAGTACAATCAGAGATATGTGGTGCCCCAATGAAAATTATTGATGTGATATGAGAGCATTTCTCAACCAAAGCCTTCGGGAGAAAAAAGAATATTAAATTCAACCACAGTGTACAGAACACACTTAGCAAAATAATGAGGTCATTTTCTCCTCTCAGTATTTTTAGAAACAGACATTAACTATTAAAATGTCCTAACACTTGACTGCTAGCCAGAAGGCTGGCGGTTCAAACCCACCAGCCACTCCTCGGAAGGAAGGTTGGGCAATCCTACTTCCGTAGTGATACTGCCTCGGAAACCCAAGGAGGGGTCGCTATGAGTCGGGGCCGACTCGACGGCAAAATAACAACAACAACAATTTCAAAGAAAATGGGATTTTGTTCAACATGTTAGTACATTTACATTTGAGTAATGCAGAGGAATTAGGATTAAATCATGTTATAAGAGTAAACCAAAAACAAACAAACAAAAAAAATTATTGCCATCTGTATTGATCCACCTCATGGCATCACCAGGTGTGCACAGTGCAGACTAAAAGTGCATGTCAGGTTCTAAAGGTTGTGACCTGTCAGAAGCAAATCACCAGGGCCTTCTTCCGAGGCACCTCTGGACTGCTTCAAACCACCAATCTTTTGAGTGGTATTGAGCACTCAACCATTTGTGCCATCCAGGGACTCTGTTATAAGAGTATAGGGGGAAAAAAGAGTATGGAAAAACATCAGAAATTGGGATGTTGAACAAAATCACACATTTAGCAGCTAGATATGGAGAACTAAAAGTTTATACCTAGGGACAACATCACCAAAACAAAAATATCCTAACTGAAACAAAGTTTCTAAGGTTCTAAGTTTCTAAAGATTCAAATGTTTAATGTTTGTGTGCATGTGTTTGTGTATAAATTTTTTCATCATTTTCTTCCTATAAAAAAACCCAAGATTAAAATCCCATGTTCATTTCCCAGTAATTCATATCACTAGAAAATATGCCCAATTTCATGGGACTTTCCAATCACCTACCTTGACACAGTTGTCTGTCAGTGTTGGCATATCGTTGATGACCAGATGCATAATTCCACTGCAGCTGTTTGCGATGTTCCTGAAGCCTTGGACTGAAATCTAGATGGCACAGAGCAGGTGAAAATGATGGGAGAACCCATTAGCATGACATCTAGCAAAACCCCGAGGTAGTTATAACCAAAGGTCTGTTATGATTTTGTTATATTTTAAAATTAAAACCATAAAACATGGCAGGCATAGAGTGAAAGAAAGAATATAGTCTGTATTTCTTTTTCTACTGCTGTGAAATGCACATAATATAATGTATCATTGGTGTGACACAGGCTTCTAACCTCCTTTAACTTCCCAAGGAGGGAAGAGGATCAAGATCAACAGTCCAAGGCTGATTCCTATGAGGCAGAGGTCAGACATGCTTCCATTCTCCGAACTTTTCACCAATTCTGACACCAACTGTCCTTCCCATGGCACTCTCTACTTCTTCGCTGAGTTCAGTAACTTGTTGCAATGGCCACATAGAACTCGCAGATAATACCCATAGTTATAGTTTATTAGGGAAGTAACAGGTTACAGTTCAGGATTAGTAACGAATCAGGACACAGTTTTTCAATCAGGACAGCCTCTTCTCTGCAGTGCCCACAGGCATGCCTTTCTCTGGCCCTTAGCCTCTTCACAGCATGACATCTTGGCCTCTGCTCTGCTTAGGCAAGTATGACAAAGCTCTTTTAGCTCTGCGATAAATGTCCAGGGGGCATACCACTCCACCAGTAAGCCTTGACCCAAAGGACACTCCACTCCAGCTCCATGGGTCCGCAAGCCTAGCTCTGCCAAGTACTCCACCAGCAAGCCTCCTGCCCAAAGGCTCTCAGTTTCCTTGCTCCGTGGGTCTGGAAGCCCACTGCATCGTCTCCTGCCAGTCTTCTGGTTCTGCTACCTCTGCTGCCACTGCCTCTCTGCCACCACTTCTCTGCCACTGCTTTTCATGGTCTCTTGCCATCTCTTCAGTGTTACAGCTCTCTATGTCTTCTGGGTCAAGGAGGTTCCCAGTCCAAAGGATGTACTCTGCTCCCATCTCTTCTTCTTGGTGGTAGCCAGGTCCCCACTTTCTGCTTCTAGGATGGCTCCTTTTAAGCACAGCAGGATGGCACCCTGACCAATTTTCTCATTAGAGTTCCATACACCTTATTTGCCGGATCCCACCCCACAAGGATACCAAGCATCTTATTTACATTATTAGTAAGCTATCCAATCTTGTTGGTGGGCCACAAGCACCACATTTGCATAGTCCCCCAGTCCTTTGGTGGGAGTTACAAAGACTATGGCTAGAAGGGCCACATTTACTGCACCACACATAAAATCAACAGATAATAAAGGGAGATACTATTACATACACAATACTGTATTACCAGTAGTAACAAACATTAATCTATGGATAGATACATAGGTAGACAGGCAAGAAGATCAAGTGTGGGTAGGCGAATGGGAATATACTCATAACCACACATAGGTGTGGCAAAAGATATTCCTACATACGTATTTATATGTGCTATAAAAATGTCCATATACATTACAGACTTAACAAGGGACAAAGTTAGGAAAACTTCTTAGCCTCAAGCACCTTGAGGGAGTTAGTCACTGGGCCCTCAGGCTCAGGACCATGGCTGGTGGGGGCGCTGGGGCATCAAGCTGAATTAGCATAACATAGTACACAAAAACATTGCTCTACATCCTACTTTGGTGAGTGGCAACTGGGGTCTTAAGAGGTTCTAAGTGCTCATCTAAGATGCAAGTATTGGTCTCTCCTCATCTGGAGCAAAGAAGAATGAAGAATATCAAAGATATATGGCAACAATAAATCCAAGGGCCAACACTGAGACCAGAAGAACTAGATGGTGCCCAGCTACCAATGCCAGCCACTCAAAAACGGATCAAAACTGGAGATCCTGAAGAGTGGGAAAAAATGTGGAACAAAATTAAAAAACATGGGTCAATGCATTTTTTTTTTACAATGTTCACTCCCCTCCCCTTCCACCCTGGTAACCAGCAAAGAAAGTTTCCTTCCATATATAAACCTTTCCTTGACTTTTTATAGTAATGAACTAATACAATATTTGCCCTTCTGTAATTGATTTATTTCAATTAGCATAATGTCCTTCAAGTTCATCCATGTTATGGGGTGTTTTGCAGATTCTACACTATTCTTTAGTGTTGTATAGTATTCCATTGTGTGGATGTACCATCGTTTGGTTATTCATCCTTCTGTTGATGGGCACCTAGGTTGTTTCCATCTTTTTGTTATTGTAAATAGTGTTATAATGAACATGGGTGTGCAGATATCTGTTCTTGTCCTGGCTCTCACTTATTTAGGATATATACCTAGTAATAGGATTGCTGGGTCAAATGGTATTTCTAATTCCAGCTTTTTAAGGAATCACCATACTGCTTTTCACAGTGGTTGTATCATTTGACAGTCCCACCAGCAGTGTATGAGAGTCCCAATCTCTCCACATCCTCACCAGCATTTATTTTCTGTCTTATTGAACTTTGCCATTAGTGCTAGGGTGTTGTTTTTATTTGCATCTCTCTGATGGCTAATGATCATGAGCATTTCTTCATGTACTTGCTGGCCACCTGAATATCCTCTTTGGTGAAGTGTCCATTCATGTCTTCCGCCCATTTTTAAATTGGATCGTTAATGTTATTTTTGTTGAGGTGTTGGAGTTCTCTATACATTTTGGAAATAAGTCCCTTGTCAGATATGTCAGATATGTCAGATATGTCATTGCCGAATATTTATTCCCAATCTTTAGATTCTGTTTTGACTGTTTTGGAGAAGTCTTTGGAAGCACATAAAAATGTAATTTTTAGAAGGTCCCATTCATCTAGTTTATCTTCTGCTGTTTGTGCTTTTCGGCTTATGCTTGGCAATCTATTTATGCCATAAGTAAGGGCCCCATAAATTTTCCACTATTTTTTCCTTGAGGAACTTTACAGTTTTAAGTTTCACATTTAAGTCTTTGATCCATCTGGAGTTAGTTTTTGTGTATGGCATGAGGTACAGATCTTGTTTCCTTTTTCTGCAAATGGATATCCAGTTTTGCCAGTGCCATTTATTAAAGAGACCACCTCTTGCCCATTTAATGGATTTCAGCCTTTTGTCAAAAATCAGCTGACCATAGGTTGATGGGTCTGTTTCTGGGTTCTCAATTCTGGTCTATGTGTCTGTCATAGTACCAGTACCAGGCTATTTTGACTACTGTGGCTGTATAGTAGGTTTTGAGATTTGGGGGTGTGAGACCTCCTACTTTGTTCTTTAATACACACTGCTGTCAAGTAGGGTCCAACTACTTGGAGTGACCTCTCCTTGGGTTTCTGAGGTGGTATCACTACAGAAGTAGATTGTCCAACCTTCCTTCTGAGGAGTGGCTTGTGGGTTGACCCACCATCCTTCTGGTTAGCAGTCAAATGCCTTAGGTGCTATGCCACCAGAGCTCTCAATAGTGCTTTGCTTATTCATGGTCTCTTTCCTTTCCATATAAAATTAGTGATTGGTTTTCCATATCCTTAAATAATGCTGATGGGATCTGAATTGGGATTGCATTGAATGCATAGATTACTTTGGGTTGTATAGACATTTTCACAATGTTCAGTCTTCCTATCCATGAGCATGGTATGTTCCTCCATTTATGTAAATCTCTTATAGTTTCTTGGAGTAATGACTTATAGTTTTCTTTGTACAGGTCTTTTGTGTCCCTAGTGAGATTTATTCC